ACGCAATAGTTACTTTTACTAGTAACTAGTTACTTTTATTGTGGAGTAATTCAGTTAGTAACTCAGTTACTTTTTGGGAGAAGTAACTAGTAACTATAACTAATGACTTTTTCAAAGTAACGTGCCCAACACTGCTCACGGTAGTCATCAATCAAGGTGGGGTCCAAGATGACCCAGGGACCCAAGTGCGGTCTTCCGGACCGTAGCCCTCCCAGTCAATCAGGTACTGCCAACCGCTGCCCCGGCGACGGGAGTCCACGATCCAGCAAACGGTGAAGGCAGGGTGACCATCAATGTCCCGGACGGGTGGAGGGGAGTCGGACGGAGGGCACAAAGGACTGGTGAGAACGGGTTTGATCTGAGATACATGGAAGGTCGGGTGGATATGGAGTGAGGATGGCAGATGCAGGCGGACGGCAGACGGGTTGATGACGGATGCGATCTTGTAGGGACCGATGAACCTAGGGGAGAGTTTACGGGACATGGATCTGAGTGGAATGTCATGAGTGGATAACCAGACCTGTTGACCAGGTGAGTAGATGGGAGCTGGACGTCGCTTGCGATCAGAGTATTTTTTATTTTGAGCTGATGTTCAATTCAGGGCTGAGATGGTCTCCTTCCAGAGCTTCTGGCAGTGGCGAATGTGATGGTGAACGGAGAGTACGGAGATTTCTCTTTCATCGGCTGGAAACAGGGGTGGTTGATAGCCTAGGGATACTTGAAACAGAGACAACCGGTTGCAGATGAAATTTGCGTGTTGTGAGCGTACTCTACCCAGGGGAGGAATTGACTCCAGTCGGTAGGATTGGTGGACGTCAGACAGCGAAGGGTGGATTCCATTTCCTGGTTCATGCGTTCCGTCTGCCCGTTGGACTGAGGATGGTAACCTGAAGAAAGTGACACTTTGGTGTTCAGAGCTGAGCAGAAGTGTTTCCATACCTGAGAAGTGAACTGAGGGCCTCTATCAGAAAGGATCTCCTGGGGAATGCCATGGAGTCTGAAAACATGTTTGACCAACAGTTGAGCCATTTGGAAGGCCGTCGGGAGCTTCCAAGGGGGGGACAAGATGACAAGTTTTAGAGAAATGGTCGATAATGGTGAGGATTGTTGTCATACCCTTGGAGATTGGCAGGCCGGTAACAAAATCCACAGCAATGTGGGACCAGGGACGAGATGGAACACGTAACGGATGCAGAAGACCTGATGGAGGCTGATGAGAAGGTTTGTTTCTTGCACAGACTGGACATGCTAGAACGTATTCTTTAACGTCCTTATGAAGGGACGGCCACCAGAAACGACGAGTGATTAGGGCAATTGTTCTGCTCACACCAGGATGGGCGGAAAACTTGGCAGAATGCATCCAGTGGATCAGACGAGATCTGACGGAGGTGGGTACGTACGTCCGATTTGGCGGTCCATTTCCTGGGTCAGGTTCTGAAGCTTGGGCCTCTTTGATCAGGTCGGTGATCTCCCAGGAAACGGTTGCCACCGTACAGCTTGCAGGAAGGACGGATTCCGGTGTTTCGGGCTTGTCAGATAAGTACAGGTGAGAGAGAGAATCAGGTTTGACATTCTTTGAACCAGGTCTGTAGGAAATAATCTGGTTGAAACGGGAGAAAAATAGAGACCAACGGGACTGACGGGGATTTGATCTTTTAGCAGACTGTATGTACGACAGATTCTTGTGGTCAGTCCATACCAATACAGGATGCTCTGCGTCCTCTAGCCAATGCCGCCACTCTTCCAGTGCGGGTTTGATTGCCAGAGGTTCTCTGTCACTGACATCGTAATTTTGTTCAGCCAGAGAGAGTCTGCAGGAGAAAAAGGCGCATGGGTGAGTTTTTTGATCAGAGTCCGATTGTTCAGATAAGACTGCCCCCACTCCAGAATCATATGCATCTACCTACAGTATAAACTGTTTGGAGGGGTCAGGTTGGATGAGAATGGGTGCGCTGGAAAAAAGAGCCTTGAGCTTATTGAATGCGGATTCAGCCTCTGCAGACCAGTGAAATGTTCTTTTGACGAATGTCAGAGCTGTAAGGGGCTGGGCTGTCTGACTGTAGTTCCTGATGAACCTTCTGTAAAAGTTAGCAAAACCCAAGAACCTTTGTAACTGCTTGCGATTCTCGGGGGTAGGCCAGTCCAAAACCGCCTTGATCTTGTCCTCGGATGGCTTCACCTGCCCGCCCTCGAGCACAAATCCTAAAAAGGTAACAGAAGGTTGGTGAAACTCACATTTGTCAGCCTTGACGAAGAGCTTATTTTCCAGAAGCCTTTGGAGAACCAAACAGACATGTTTCTTAAGGTCAGACAGATTCTTAGAATATATCAGGATGTCGTCAATATAGACGAAGATAAAAAATGTTGAGGAAATCTCTCAAAACATCGTTAACCAGGGCTTGAAAACAGGCAGGAGCGTTAGTCAGACCAAAAGGCATAACCAGGTACTCGAACTGGCCTAGAGGAGTTTTAAATGCAGTCTTCCACTCATCTCCCTCTCTGATTCTGAGGAGATGGTAGGCATTTCTAAGATCCAATTTAGTAAAAATGGTGGCCCCTTGCACGGGTTCAAAGGCGGATGCAAGCAGAGGCAGGGGGTATTTGTTTTTAATGGTTATTTGGTTAAGTCCTCTATAATCAATACAGGGCCGGAGAGATCCATCCTTCTTACCAACGAAGAAGAAACCGGCACCAAGAGGAGATGAGGAGGGCCGAATAATACCGGCGGCTAAAGACTCAATATACTTCTCCATGGTTTCTCTTTCTGGCTTGGAGATATTAAAGAGTTGACTACTGAGAAGTGGAGCCCCAGGTAAAAGGTCTATGGCAGAATCGTATGGCCTGTGAGGAGGAAGTGACAATGCACTGAACTTACTGAAGAGAGGTGCCAGATCGTGGTAGTCTGGAGGTACAGAGGATAAATCAGGCGGATCAGCTTCCTGACGACTGGCTGTGGAGTGAATAGAGGGAGCTGCAGAGCAGAGACATGAGACATGGCAGGAGGCAGACCAGGACTCAATGTGTTTCTTAGCCCAATTAATGTGTGGGTTGTAGGGCTGGGCGATATAGAAAAAAAGCTTATCGATAAAAAAAAATGTTTATTCATCGATATCGATAATTATTGAAAAGATTTGAAACCATATTTTATGTGCAGCTCTGCCTGGACTTTTTTTAATATTGCTAAATGATTTAATTTTAATAAAAAACACAAACAGACTTTGAATTAAATCTTTATTTAACCAACTTTTTTAACCATAACAGAATTGTTTTAAAGAAAA